TGCAATGGTTTAGTGAATGAAAAGTTTCAGCTAAGATTTTCGGCACATGGTTCACTCGCTTAAGAAGTTGTTTGAACAGTTCCATCACAGCTTCCTCGATGTATCCCAAAGTTTTTGGGAAGATAAACAAGTCGTAGATACCTAGTGCAAAAAGGTCAATCACCTTCCATTCATCTAGATGATTCTTCATTAATTGCTTGATGTGGGTCCAAGCAATTCCTTCTCCTTTACCTTTGTGCTGAATCTGGTCAGTCACCCACTTTTCATATACCCCTACAACCTTTGCCAACCCATTCTTGAAAGGCTGACGTTTGATGTACTTTGTGTAGACCCGGTCCATTTTGATTCCTTTACAATGTAGTAAAATAATATACTCTTCAATTGTGGACACCATGTCTTCTTGATTGAATGTAAAACAATTGTACCTCATATTCCAAAATAGCACTAAGGCTCAAACTAGGGGCTCGTCTATCTTGACATAGAGTAGAAGCGCGATATCACCATACCACTAGCAGAATCTCTGTTTCTTTTCATTTTTCCAGCTATCCCAAATGCTCCACAACTCTTGAACATTGTTCTGTTTAAAGCTTACAGAAGCATAACCAACCAGATATGACACATAGTTACCTTGTAAATTGTCTCCTTTTCCTTCTGAGTCTTCTCTGACCATAGCCGGACCACTGTATTTTTCACCTCTTGCAGTATAACCCCTTTATCCATTAATACAAATTATTTGGTTTTAACGAACACTTTTTTGTGGATCAACACCTCTTTTAAATGATGTGAATCATAAAAATAAAAGAAAACAAAAATGAAAGGAAAACAAGTTAGTAAAATAAAAATAAAAAAATAATGAAAAATAAAAATTCCTACCCCACATGATATCTACCTCAAATGCTTATTATTCCTACCCGGACATGATCTCTATCCCGCATGTTAATTTATTGAATAAATCCCAACCGCATATATATTTCTAGTTCGCATGCTTTGAACAGAAAATAAAGCATAAAATAACTCAAGAATCCTAGGTTTTGAAATAGAGTTTTGAGGTGGGATCTAATTCCTTGCAGTCTCCCGGTTTAGGTTTTGAAAAGATACCCGAGTTCTCCTTGATGGTGCCCCCTTGGGCTTGCCAGACCCTTAGTCCTAAGCCCATTACAAGCTTGTGTGGACCAAGTTAAACTCGAGAGTAAAAATTCCCTTATGTCTATACGGAAAATAAATTCACACGAAGACATAAGGTATATAAATCCCGAAGGTTACTTGCTAGGCCTATACGGAGAATAAATTCTCACGAAGGCATCGCTTTCACCCCACTTACGAAAGGGTTTGGAGCTCAGGTATAGAGCCTGAGTTGGAATTTTGAAAAGCTGAAATCATTGAAAAAAACACGAGTACAACTATTTATTTGAAAAAAAATCAAAGATAAATAATAAGGATTGAATAGATAAATTAAAATTTAAACTTACAATTTTCATTTAAGAAGATAACCGAAAATTAATTTTGGCCTGACTCACTTACATGTCCCCAGCAGAGTCGTCAAGCTGTCATAACTGTCATTCGGGTGGGCCCAGAATTGGGCTTCAACTTAAATAAATGTGTTAGAGTCACCACCGATCATTTAAAATTAGGTTGATCAGATAACTTAATTTACCGTCTTACTTGATCCACATTTTACCAGAAATATATCAGATTTGGGAGTCGATTACAGTCAAGGAATGATTAACACCCTTGTACTGCCCTTTCGGTACCAATTTAATTTTTTGGTTGTCTTAATTGCGAAAATTAAAAGTTAAATTAAAATTTGAAATTTGATCTGAATTGCTTACCTTTGATCGACCCCCTAGAATGTGGAAAACGTTAGAACATAAAATAAAGTAAATATTAAATAAATAAAAGAATAAAAAAGGGTTAAAAAACAATGTTAAAAGAGAAAAATAAATTAAAAAAAAGTAAAATAAAATGAATAAAATATTAAATTTAAAAGAAAGAAATAATAAATAAATGTATTAAAGAAAAAACACGTTAAAAAGAAATATAAAAATAAGGAACATGTCAAAATCAAAAGAAAATAAAAATAAATAAATAAATAATCAAAATTGGGGGGTTAAATTGCAAAATATGAGAAATATAATCCAGGATTAAATCGAAATAATTTAAAATTCAAAGGTCAATTATAATAGGTGACTAAAATGAATTACACATCAAAGTTTCAGGGACTACGGAAATAATTTAACTATTTCATATTTACAAAGTAGCCCTCCCTATAAATAACCCAAAAATCTCAAAAAAATCATTTCATCCTCATTCATGAAAAATAAACCCCTCCCCCTCTCTAAACGCTCTCAACTTAAGCTTTGGTCGGTCGAATAAAAACTTATCAGTTTTTACCTTGGTTCAGCGGTTTCTTTTCGCTTTCCCGACTATCATTTTCCTTTTCCTTTTCCGATGACGCTGCTCCTATTTTCGGGACCAGAAAATGCCTTGCTCGGCGTTTGGTTCGGTTCTTTTGCTTAGTGACCTTTTGGTTTTAGCCGAATATTTTTTTGTTTTTGTTGTTTTGGTGATTGTTTCTTTGCTCGATTGGCTTTGTTGTTCATTCGGTTTTCTCTATTTTGTTGCTGTGGATGATTTCCGTTGTCCTTGTTGTCTCGGCTGTGCAGGTTTTTATACAGCCCTCGTCGGGTCTATTTCCGGCTACTTCGGGGGACATTCTCCCCATTCACGATTTACTTGGGTTATTGGGGTTGTTGGCCGAGAGATTTGGGATGGTTCAGTCTTGAATCTGGCCTAATTCTTTTGCATGGCCAATTTTTTGGTTTTTCCTTCGGTGTTGATTATTTTGTGGCCGAAAATCTCGGGCGGAGATCTTGGTCGGTTGTTGCATAGCCCTTGGCCTTGTGGTTGGCGACGCGCGTTGGTATATTCTTCCTAAGTTTTTGTAACCCTACATACCTTTCAGTATGGGCAATTGATTACTTGGTCGATCCTGTGGCTTTGGTGTTGCGACACCTTTAGCTTATGGCAAAATCCTATCTTGTTGGGTCAGGCGGCTTGGACTTCAGACTGTTGGGCTCACTCCATTTCAGTTGGGCCTTGCCGGGTTTTGCTGGGTCATGCTACCCGATTGGACCCCCTCTACCTTTGTTGGGCCTGGACTTTGATTTGGACCTTGAACTTTTTGGACCTGTAAAAAAATGAAATTAAATAAATAAATAATAATATAAATAATATATAATAAAAACTATATAATATTATGTTTTCAAAAATTATATATTATATATGTTTCAAAAAATCGTTTTGAAAAACTATATATATATATATATATATATATATATATATTTTCAAAATTATATTATATTTGTTTTCAAAAATCGTTTTTAAAACTATGTATATTATACGTTTTCAAAAATATGTTTTTAAAACTATATAATATATGTTTTCAAAAACTTATTTTCAAAACCATATTATATATTTTCAAAAACTGAATTTTAAAAAACTATATATTATATGCTTTCAAAAACTTTTTCTAAAAACTATATATTATATGTTTTTAACAAATATTTTCAAAATTTACATTACATTATTATATATATACTAAATAAACTCCGTATTAAAATGAGTGACTACACTCTGGTAAAACACAGATCCGGTAAGGAGGGAAATCAAAGTGTCTAATCTATCGCATTCGAAACAACCGGTGGTGACTCCATCACAAAGCCAAATCGAAGCGCGAACCCATGATCACCCGAATGGCCGTTGCGACACTAATCATGTAAATCAAGATAAGAATCAATCAATACTATTATTTTATTAAATAATTTAATACAATTTAATAATTTTATAAGATTGAAATGATTTACACTTCTATATATTGCAACTTTTAATTTAACGTTTTTAAAAGTCATTTTCCGTTTGTTCTTATTGTCATAAGAATCTTTGAATCCAAATACATATCACACTGTCATTCCTAATTTCACTACTACAATAAATAATCTCATCATCAACATTATTTTTAATCTTTCCGAAACTAATCACCCTTTCCATTTTAAGAACACTTAATTTTTTTTGGTTGCCCTTTGAGTTCCAAAACTTTACGACCTTAACTAATTTAGACCGACCCACTTTACACGCTTGACTTTAGTGTGTGAATCTCCTAGCATAAATTTTCTAGATACACAAATTAATAAGAACACCTAAGTTGATTGAACTAATAAACTGTTGATAGAGTCAACTACTAGGAAAAGTGTCCTGAGTTATTACTCGTGGTTCCGTTTTCCACTTTTATGTTAAAGGTTTAAAATTTTATTTTCTTTTATAACTATCATTAATTCATTCAATAGTAAATTAAATTCAATTATTTTTTTTAATTTTACTATTTAATTTATCAAATATTCTTCAATTTTTAATCTTTTTAATCTTAATCTAAAAATAAAATAATACATCATTCTTTATCTTTTTATTTACTGTTCAAAATTAAACACTATATTATATACATATTCATTTTTTATTTATTTTTTCTTAATTACATTTAAGATGTTTTTTAACAAAATAATATATTTAATAAAATTAATTAATTTTCTATGATTTATTAATAAAATACATAATTAATTGTTTAAAATAATAAAATAGACTTTTAATATGAGTTTATTTTAAAATTTTTGTCCTTTCCTTGTGTGTTCGTGTATGACAACAATATATTTATGAGACTAACTCGTTAATACTATTTCATTGTAAATTATAACCGTGTATTTACTGGATTTATTTATTTCAAATTCTTAATCGTATATCTACAAATGTTTAAATACAATCTACTCCTCAAATCCATTCTTCTTAACAGAAATCTCATCTTCAATACCTCCATTTTGAACAACGAGAAAATTAAGGAGACTCGTACTATTACAATGTAAATGATTATCTTAGCGTACTACATAACAGGAACTATTTATCGCTTTATTTATTGTTTTCACATGTAACACAATTTATTGGTAAATAAAATATTGACATGGCAAACAATGATTGACAATAGTCTTTATTTAAGCTCAACATGACCTTTACGACATTATTTCATGTCTCATGATTTCATATATTATATTACATCATATTAGAAGAGAAAGGCATTCAACGTGAGGGGTCAAGTGGGAGTAGTTTGGTATTGGATCACTTTCCCAAACAACACTACCCCTGCTTTGCAATCAGATTACAGTTCCACTAGGAATCATGGCATCCTTGATGACTGTCACAATCCCACTCTTAATGAAATATCCATCTGTTTCCCTTGCAGTTTCTTGCACGTTGTCACTGTTGATGATCTGCAAATACGCCCCCACATTCTTAGTTTAACATCTAACTAGGGTTTTAAATAAATCATGGTAAATTAACAGATTAAATAATGACCAACCTTCACATTGTCTCCAATTCGAGCATTCTTGTCAATAATGGCTCTCTTGATATGCGAGTTCTTTCCGATACCAATTGGAACACTGCCCTTTGCGTATAAAAACCTCCGGTCTGCATCAGTCTGGAGGAAGACAATGAGGAAATTCAGATTACGGATGGTGACACACGGATGAAAATGATATGTTTAAAAAAAGAAAAAGAAAATGAGAGCTGATAATTCCCAGGTTACACTACCTCATAATAATCTGCTCCCATCAGTAAGGTATCTTCTATGATTGCACCCTCGGAAATGCAAGATCGAAGACCAACGACAGAATGGTGAATTTTGCAGTTCTGCAATTAACCAAAATATGCAGAGGATTAACTCAAAGTTTTTCTAGTTTCCATTTAGCCTGTGAATATTAGAATCCATCTCCACCCAGAAAAACTAAGCAAACTATCAACCTAGCCCCGGGGACCTCACCTTAATAACACAGCCCTCACCAATAACACTATCCGTAACATCAGCATCAAGCATTTTGGATGGTGGCAAATACCGAGGCTGGGTGTAGATCGGAGACGAACGGTCATAGAAGCTGAAGTTCAAAGCCATAACAGTAGTTAGATTTTTAAGTTATAACCAAGCTAGTTAAATAATAATGCATTTATGAACTAAAAATACGTGAAATCCGGAATTGGCTTTTTGGTAATTCCCAGATTTGCATTGTAAAACGCCTCAATGGTACCAATGTCCTCCCAGTAGCCGTCATACAAGTAAGCTTGTACCTAAATAGGTTAACAAGCAATTACACCTCCAGGATTCGTAATTTTGATGTGAAGAGAAAAATAAACGTGACAGCATAAACGAACTCCATCAAGCAAAAGCACTGAAGCGTCAATCATGCATGCATACATTACAAACTTCAAGGATACTGATCACCTCGATGATGATTGTAACAGCCATTCAGATGGAGGGATATATGAAAAGAAATCTACCCTCAATCCAATTGAAGTAGCACCTGGAATGACTTCACTTCCAAAATCATTGGCACCCGGAAACGTGTCTCGAAGGATATTCAACATCACATCTTTACTGACAACATAAATGCCCATACTAGCAATGTATGGCCTTTCTTTTGCTCTTTCATCATCAAGTCCTAAAATTGTCGTATCAACCTAAAACAATTGCATAAAAATCAAAACCCGAACCAGAAAAACAATAACTTCACCACATCATTTGAGAATCACATCTGAAGGAGGATACCTTCATAGCTTTTAGTTGGTCGCCCTTGGGTTTCTCGGCGAATTCAATAATACGTCCTTCTTCATCGATCTTCATCAGACCAAAAGCAGTAGCACGTTGTTCATCCATCGGTAATGCAGCTACAGTAATATCAGCATCAGTCTCTCTGTGCGCCTGAATGAACCTTTCATAGTCCATTCTGTATAAATGGTCTCCGGCAAGAACCAAGAATTCCAAAACATTATGCTCTTCAAACAACCACAAATATTGCCTCACCGCATCCGCTGTCCCCTGTACATTCAATCACAATTTTCTACAAACAATATCCAAAATTCCAGAAAGAGATTAAAACCCATTTCAGTAGCAACTAACCTGGAACCAGTTCGGGTTTTCCGGACTCTGCTGAGCAGCAAGAACCTCGACGAACCCTTCGTTCTTGTAACCACCCATGTTACTAGCATATGCGCGGGAAAGGTGACGGTTCAGAGAAGCAGAGTTGAATTGAGTCAGAACGTAGATTTTGGATATGTTACTGTTCAAGCAATTACTAACAGGAATATCGATTAGCCTATAATTTGCTCCTAATGGAACAGCCGGCTTAGCTCTCTTCTTTGTTAGTGGGTAAAGCCTCGTCCCTGCTCCACCTCCCAAAATAATCCCCAAAACACTCTGCCAAAAACATTCAAATTTCCAATTTCAAACCAAAAAATATAAATCCATTCAGGATATTTTCAGTTATTTAATCGATCAAGAGACGTTTCGGATTCTGTCTTTCTTTCTCGTTTCCTAATCAGACAAAAATGATTCAGTGATAAGCTGAAACTTACTCGACTAGCATCGGGGTCAAGGCACGTCTGTGAGTTCTTGGAATCTGAAACCGCTTTCGGTGAAACGATTGACGGAGTTCTTCTCGTTCCGCGGGAACCGACAGTCTGTTTTGAAACGAGCTTATCACCGGAAAGAGTGGAAGCCGAGAATGACAAGCTCTGAGGAACGGGGGATTTATGGCCGGAGCAAATAGAAGAAGCATTTGAAGTAGCAGAAGAAGGCAACCTGAAAGCACCGATCGCCGCCATTAGTATTGTTGTGGCGATTTCACTGAGATTACAAATGGGAGAATGTACTGGCAGTTTTTAAGGTGGGCGAGTGGGAGATCTGAAATTGATGGGACTTTGGGAAATGAATTTGACATTATTGTTGTCGTAAAATTACGAGACCCACCCTTCGAAGAATTGATCTGTTTCAGATATGGAAAGGAGCTAAGGGTGTTATGGGAATAAAGTAATGGCTATATTTGTTATTTACAGAAACCGGGTAAATTAATGATTGGGTGGCTGTCATTTCACAAGCAGACATCGGTCACGTGATCACAGCCATTAAACACCGTCCGTTTTCATGATTTTTTCGAAGTAATAAAATAAGAACAGAAAACGAAAATAACTACACTCATTCATTTGTAAAATTGATTTTTTTAATTTATAGTTATTTAAGTTGAGTTATTCGAATTATTTGAGTTATTTAAATTATTAATTCAGATTTTGAGTTCCAATTAAGTTAAAATTTAAAAAATTTAAATTATTCAAAAAAATTAAAAATTTGATTATATATTTTGATAATTTTATGATTTAGTCTTTAATTTCATTATTCTTTCAATTTATCCTCCATTTTAAATCTATTTTTAACCAAAATTGAGTAATATGCTCCTAAATTATCGTATAATACATATGTACTTTCTATTCCTCTTTTTGATAATATTTTTTTTATTTTTCAATTTAATCCCTCATTTATTTCATAATTTTCTTATTTCTTCAATCAATCCTTTATTTTAAGTTTGTTTTTATCAAATTTGAACTACATGTTTATATACCAATATAAAATACAGATGTAACTTCAATTCATTTTTTTACTAAAAATGTTCTCTGTTTTTTATTTAGACCCTTAACATTGCATTTTGCTCAATTTGATTTTTTAGCTGCAGTTGTTTGCAAAAATTTTCTTCAATCAATTCATCGAGTTTTTTATACTCTCATCAATATTTTACCCTAAAAATAAAAAAATAATATTATGAATATATTTTATATTTTTATATTGTATTTGATATATTAAATAATATTATAACGTGAACAAATATGAAATATATATATATATATATATATATATATATATATATTATGATTAGAGAATGTCAAAAAATTTGAATCAATCTAGTGGCGAATCCAGAAATATTTTATGGGTAGGAAAACATATGTTAACAACATAAAACTTTTAAATTTGATAGGTACAAATAAAATTTCAAGGTGAGCATTGTTCGTAAAATAAGTAAGTAATCGAAAAAAACTCAGATTTAAGGGTGGACACCAAAAATTTCAAGGTGGGCAACGTGAGTAAAATAAGTAATTAATTGAATAAAATTTTGATTTCAGGGTGAGCACGTACACACCCTCGCCAAGTCGTGGCTTCGCTATTGAATCAATTTTTACCATAATACTATAAATAATTATAATAAAATTAGCATAGAAACTCAAATAACTTGACTCAAACTTCTTAAACTCTACTCGACTTGAAAATTTTCAAGTTAAGTTCAAATTATAAAATACGAATTAAATATTTTCATCACATTTTTCTATTTTTGCCCGACATTCAAGTTATCTAATGTTAGATAGGACTAAGCAACGAAATCGAAAAAACCGAAAAACCGACACGAATCGAGTAAAACGATTCGGTTCGGTTCGGGTTTACCTCTAAACGGTTCGATTTCAGGTGGATTAAAGAATGAACCGCAATTGATTCGGTTCGATTCGAGTTTTTCATATGAAACCCATTTGACCCGTATTAAACCGAATATCCGATTACCCTACCCAATTCCCATAAGGCATAACCCAATTATTAATAGAAAGTAAACTGTTGGGGGCATTTAATTTTGTTCAAAGTAGAAAAGAAAAGGTACGTAATTTAATTTGTTTTTTAACATAAAGTGTGGGGACTTCATGGCAATAGGCATGTAAACGAATCGAACGCACACGAACGAATGTATGTTCATGTTCGTTCATTTAATAAATAAACGAACATAAACGAATACGAACATAAACGAACAATTTTTTTTTTGTTTATGTTCGTTTATTAAGGAAAATAACTTGTTCATGTTCGTTTATTTAATAAATAAACGAATATAAACAAACACACACATAAACGAACACGAACATAAACATTGGAGACCCTACCTAGGGGTGTAAACGAGCCGAGTCGAGCTCGAGTATTGTTGAGCTCGACTCGAACTCGAAAACTTTCAAAGTCAGCTCGACTCGACTCGAAAACTCGCTAGCTTAAAATTATCAAGCTCGACTCGAAATATAATATTGAAACTCGATACGAACTCGAAAAGGCTAGAACTAAAAAAAATGAAGAGCTCGATTAAAACTCGAGACTCGAGCTTGATTGAAGCTCGATTCTAAGCTCGATTCTAGCTCGATTCAAGCTCGACATTGCCCCAAGCGCAAAGATGCTTAAACCTATTCTCCCCATCTTCTTTTATATAAGTTACCAACCCCGAGCTGCTTGTTTGCAACTGATGTGGGATTGCATAATGTTCCTCCATTTTCTTTCTTCCTCTCTCCTTCAACAACAGTCGAGATGAACACAGATTGTGTTTCATGTGATTGTCGACCTTATTCCTTGGGGATCAAACAAACATGTCCTTAGCTTCGTGCTATGTAGAAGTTGAAAATTGGGAGATGAGAGATGTAGGTTGGTTTATTGTTCACACCAACTCATACATCAAAAACTATTCTTTCTCGGTTGGCTAAACTTCCATATCCGGATGGCGCACAAAATTTGTTTGATGAAACGCGTTAAAGAACTTCTCAACCTATGGAATAAGGCCTCACCATTATTGGGTTCTTGAGTTCAAAATAAGCTGACTTGAGTTGCTGGTTGATCACTATTTACTTGTAAATTCGAATACTCCATTATATATGAAAGAAAAGAAGATTATTTGAGTAGAAGAAACGGTGCTTAATACTTAACATCCCTTCTGGAATCCATTACCTTTGGAATTGGTTTCGAAAACAATCGGTTTCTGGGACTCCTCTTTACTCATCGGATAACCAGCTGGTGGCGCAGTCACATAGGGTTCCGGCGCAGTGGATGTTGACGGTGCTAGGTATGCAGCTTATGGATCGTTCAAAAAGAGCTAAACCATGTTAATATTGTTGGGTTTTTCAAATAAAATTGAGTTAATTATGGAGTTGGTCATCAGAATATCAGATTAATTAATATTTTTAAGATACTTACAAATTGGTCACCAAAATTGATTTAAGAAGATTGGGTTAAACATAAATGAATGAACATAAACGAACATAATCGAACGAATATAAACGAACATAAACGAACATAACCAAACGAACATAAGCGAACGTTCATGAACGTAAATGAACGAACGAGACCTATGTTCATGTTAGTTCATTTAATTAAAAGAACACAAAATCTTGTTCATGTTCGTTCATTTAATAAATAAACGCACATAAATGAACTTCCCTCCGTACTGTTCATGAACGGTTCGCTGAACGTTTAATTCATTTAGAGGTCTACATGAGAATCTACTGACAGGTTAATTTTCAATTAAGTAGGTCCCATGTTGTCTTCCCGCTTTCAGCTAGATGAACTGTGTAAAGTGGCTCTCGTTCCAATTTGCTGACTCTGCTCTTTGTCTCTGAGATGGGATCCCACACTATATGTTCTTGGTTTATGAAAAACCGATTTACCAAACTGAACTAAAAATATCGGTTTCACATAATTCGATTTTTTAATTATTCGATTTTGATTTAAATTTTAGAAAATCGTTTATTTTGGTTCGATTCAATTTTTAATAAAAAATTGAACCGAACTGAACCTAATACACCCCTAATGCTGGGGAAATGGTTATACTAAATATTTACAATGGTACTATTAGATATTTATAGTAGCACAAATAGCGTATATAATTGAGAGTATAAACGCGTATATAATTAAGAATATAAACGTTTACTATTAAATGATTAAGAGTCTTTAAATATGTATTATTTCACATTCATCAAAGATTTATAAAAAAAATTATAAAAAATTATTTAAATTAATTAAATAGTAATTCATATAAAAATTATATCTTATCATACTTTTATCTTACAGAATTTTAATCTACGTTATTTGATAAAAGCATATTTGTATTGTTTTTTAGGAAATTGTTTAGTGTGTGCCTGTGGAAAGTAATAGCCCAAGAGCATGAATCACGAAAGTTGAAAATTATTTTATTTGGTCAACTATACACATGTGACTTTGTTATTTTTTTATTATCATTTATTATCAAGTGAAATAAACGGTTGAAAGGCCGCGACATGTCATGTTGAGTGAGCGTTCGATAGAGTCGAGTTAAATAAAAAAAAGAGAAAATAACCTCAGTGACCAAAAATCTCAGATAATATACGATTTTGACCAACTTTTTTTGGACTTGCGAAAATGACCAACAAAATCGCAATGCGATCTCTAATTCGCATTGCGATCTCCACTATCGCAAATTCGCGTTGCATTTCGCGTTGCGATAGTTGAAAATCGCAACGCGATTTTCCATTTCGCGTTGCGATAGTCTACAGTCGCGTTGCGATTTTCCATTTCGCGTTGCGATAGTTGAAAATCGCGTTGCGATTTTCCGTTTCGCGTTGCGATAGTTGAAAATCGCGTTGCGATTTTCCGTTTCGCGTTGCGATAGTCTATAGTTGTCGTTGCGATTTTCCAAATTCGTTGCGATAGTCTTAAAAAAAAGATTTTGTTTCTTAAGAATTTTCTCTAAAAAGATAGTATCCGCGCGGACGTGTCGAAGACACGTATTACCACGACCACGACCACGACCACGACCACGACCACGACCCGACCCGAGACGAGACGGACGGCGGCGGCGGCGCGCGAGAGTCCCCCTTGTTCTCTATCACTCAACAAGGAAGTGGGAAAGCCAAGCCTTAAATACCATTCCCAATAGTGTTTCCAATAATCACGATTGATTGTAGATTGATTGAGCCTTAAATAGTGATATTATTTTTGAATGTTTTGCTTAAAATTGCAA